TATTTTTATTAATTCTTTTTTATTACCTGTTATAACTATTCTATAACTTTAACTTTTTTTTTTATAGTTTTTTTTGATATGATAAACCTTATTATTTCTATATATTGGTCGTATATTAGGAACATTTGGAATTGGTTCATGCGGAACATAGCAAAACAGATGAAGTTTCAGTCACTGCTCTTGGTTTCCCGGACAATGAAACTGCAGCTTTCTGGGTCGGAACCGAGGAGGGTAATGTTTATCAAGCTAACCGATATGGACGGGCTGGCGGGTAATTTATAATCATTTAATTTAATTATTACGTATAATTTTCCCTTCTTTTCATTCTTTTTTTTTTTTTATCTACAGCAAAGCCGGTATTAATCCATACGATTTTTACAAAGGACATTGGGGTCCAATTACCGGTCTTCATTTTCACCCCCTGTTTGGTCCGGTTGATTTTTCGGATTTGTTTTTGACTTCTTCTGTAGATTGGACTGTAAAACTATGGAGAGCCAAAGTAAGTCAGGTTCATTCTATATGGTCAAAATTACGTTGGAAATCGAAATTTGCTGATATATACTTTAATTATGATAAGTCCATTTCAAAACCATCAACTTCTTTGCAAAATATTGCTCCATTATATTCTTTTGAAGGAGCTGACGATTATGTGTATGACGTCAAATGGTCGCCTAGTCATCCAGCACTTTTTGCATCAGTAGATGGCACGGGTAAATTTGCTTTGTGGAATCTGAATGTTGATGCCGAGGTAATTTTCTTAGTCATATAAACCTTGATCATTATTCCGAGTCATACTCATCAAAAACTTCAATTGGGGACAGGTACCAATTGTGAGTACACAGGTTGGTCAAGGTAGGGCATTGAACAAGATTCAATGGGATAAAGAAGGACGCAAGACAGCAATTGGATCTTCGGATGGTAGAGTTCACATTTATGACATAGGAGAGGTAACTATGCATTTTTTTTAATGTGGATTCAACAATGTAATATGAACTATAATAACTTATTTATGGTTTTTATAGTTGTCTCAACCGAGGAACGACGAATGGAATATTATGCAGAAAACCATATCAGAAATGATCGACACCACGGAAAGTCATGGCGGAAGATACGCACTTGCAAAATGATTTCCATTTTACTTTAAGTAGTTGCTCGAACATTAATTAAGTATAGTTTACCAGTAATCTTTAATTGTTATTAAAGTCCACGTGTATTTTA